GCGTCCGACATATTCTGACATACCTACGCAGCCTAAACCAGAGCGGACACCGCCAAAACCAAAAGCATGGTGCGGACCGCTGAGATGAGGATACTAAGAAACATCGCAGGATAATCTCTCAGAAACAGGATCCGAAACACGAACATCCGGGAAATCTGCGAATTCAGGACGTGGTTAGATGGGTCAGACAGAGAAGGAGAAAATGGAACGAGCACGTATCAAGGATGGAAGACGACAGAATCGCAAAGATCGCTAGGGATGGAAAGCCCCACTCCAGGCGTCCCCCGGGAAGATCCCCGAAACGTTGGATGTATAGCTGGACATCAACTTCACAGGAGGAGCAATAGTTGGAAAAACAGGCTTGGCCTATTTCAAGAAGAAGAAGAAGAAGAAGAAGAAGAAGAAGAAGAAGTACGTCTGAATGTGAATTTCACATTATATTTTGTACGGAAATATTATTTTTCAGATAATACTTTTTGGACAAAAGCGGGGGAAAAGAAGGAAGGCATCAATTTATCTCGAAAATGCGGATGCGTAAAGTATGTAGGTATTTGTGCAAATCGTCTCGAATTAACGGCCGCGTAATATGACAGGCTAAAAAAGGATGATTTATATATGCATTAGAAGGAAACAGCCGCGGCCTACAAAAATTCCCGACTTCCTTCGGGCTATTTCGGACACGAGCCGCGGCAGCTTCCCTAATGCGAGGTCTCGGGTCTCGTCCGCCTCGCACACGTGGAAGAGCGAAATGCCGCCGCGGGCATCAGCATCAACATCGTCTCTCTCTCTCTCTCTCTCTTCCACTCTTTCGTGCGATATATTGATATTAATGTGGTCCCAACGGCCATGGAGCATCCGCTTAATGAGAACAATCGTCGCTCGTGCCACGAGCCACCCTATTATTCAATTCAACAACGCAACCCCACGTGTCCCGTGACGCCTTCTAATTGGCCTGTCGGAAAAATTTCTAGACGTGTCCTCGGACAATCGCAAACTCTTTAAGTTCTCAATAAATATTTGAGAAACATTTCGCCGGAGATTATGAAAGAAATGGATTTTTTTGTGTAACTAAAAATTGTTACATACACCGTTAAATTCGTAGTTATACTCAAATTATACTCAATTTAAATCATATTTAACCACTCGTATAGGTTGTCGCTGCTCCTACTCAATACGTCGTCAATTTAACTAAAACAATGTTAATTTAACTAAATCAATGGAGTTAAAATAATACTTTGTTTTGTATCAAAATAATAAATTTCGACACACAAGGTAGTTAAAAATAATAAAATGTTAACTCAAGGTATCGGTTTAAATTTCATCTTTTTCACCTTTATGTTTTCATTACTTAATACTTTTTTACCTTTAATTTCACTTTTAGTACTTAACTAGTGTATCCAAAATCGTGAAAAAAAAAACGTCTAATTAAGCCGTCAATTATTTCCTATTAAAATATATTGTAAATATCATGCGTAAATTTTCTTAATGTCCCCTCTACTTTAACAAAAATCATTAATGTATGCGAAATCACTATTAACGACGTATCCATCTTGGCACGTTGCAGTAAAACTGAATGAAAAATAATGAAGCGTGAAAGAGGCATTAACGTGACCGAACCAGACAAGACAAATGCTTTTCTATTACGAGGAAACTATTCTAAATATAACGAGACCTAAATACAACGTTGGAGACAGAAAGAGAGAGAGAGAGAGGGGGAGGGGAGGGGGGGAGGGAGAGAGGGAGGGAGAGAGAGAGAGAGAGAGAGAGAG